ACTTACTATTACCAGTTTATTAGAAAGGATACAATGCAGGAACAGCGAGATGGAAGAGATGGATAGGGAAGCTATGTGGGAAGGGTTGTGGAGCTTCCATGCCCTCTCTGGGTTTACCACCCTCCCAGCATCACCACGTGTTCAGCAATCTGGAGCTCTCCAAACCCAGTCATTAAGGGTTTTTATGGAGTGATCATTACATAAGCATGATTAAATCATTGGCCATTGGTGAGTAAGTCCATTTCCAGTCCCTCTCTCCTCTCCAGAGGTCAGATGTAGAGCTGAATGTTTTAACCCTCTCATTTCACGGTTGATTTCTCTAGCAACTAGCCCCCATTCTCCAAGACACTTCATTAGCATAAATTTAGGCATGTTTTAAAGGCACTTAGTATGAATAACAAAAAAATGTTCTTCTCACCCCTATCAAAGGTGACCTCAAGAAATTACTAAGGTTTTAGGAACTCTGTGCCAAGAACCAGGGATGAAGACCAAATAAATATTTATTATAATATAATATCACAGTTAATTAATTTCAAAGACAGTAGTGCCTATCATTTATCATAGTACCTGATTCACAGTGAATGCTTAATAAATATTTGTAGAGTGGAACTAGTAAATTTCTTTTTTAATGAAGAAAACAGGTTTATTAGTGGAACATTTCCATTGGTTAAGAGTGGATCAATCTGATTTAATGAGACCACTTGACGTTTAACACTGAAGCTCCTTTTCAGAGAGAGTACAGTGACCTGCATATAACAGACATACAAATTTGCTGAATGAATAAATGAAAAATTTTTTATGTGACGTATATTCCAAACCAACTATGTTATGCAGTGTATTAGGTGCTACTATGTATCATATCCCATTTAATTTTGAAATAATCATATGAAGCAGGCAGCACTGGATTGCCAAGTATGGGTTTAGGGTACCAGCAAAACTGGGGCACCCAAATTTGCTGGGAGAAAATGGATATTTGATGTGTTATTTAAAAGAACATCAGAGTACTATAGTTAACATTGAAAAAAAATCACAGCTTTTCTACATTATGTTGAATGTTGTTTCCACTTTAAATTATATATTGGGGAATGCTTTGCATTATTAAGAGCATCTAAAACTCTTCATCTGGCTCCAGAAGATGTTAAGATTCCTATTTTACACAAGACCACACAGAGGCTTAGAAAGCCTAGTTACTAGCTGAAGTCATGCACCTAATTAGTAGAAGAGCCCACTATGATGGTACTCAATGTTTATGATACATTATATGTTTATGATGTCAACACCAATTTTCCTTTCAAAATTGTGAATTTTGTTGGGCCTTCTTTATTGGTATAGTGTTTTAATGAAATAAAGCATACAATAAAGTTAATCTAAATATCTGGTTTTTAAAATTTTATCAAATGTACATCACAGTGGTTCAACAGTCCCTCCTGTCCCCTGCTCCTACCCACTTCCTCCCCCTTGGTAACCACTAGTCACTTCTCAGTGTCTATGAGTCTAATGCTGTTTTGTTCCTTCTGTTTTGCTTTGTTCTTATACTTCATAAATAAGTAAGATCATACGGTATTTGTCTTTCTCCATCTGACTTATTTCACTGAGCATAATGCCCTCTAGATCCATCCATGTTGTTGCAAATGGCAGGATTTCTTTTCTTTTTATGTCTGAATAATATTCCACTGTGTGTGCATATGTACTACATCTTCTTTATCCAGTCATCTATTGATGGACAGTTTGGTTGCTTCCATATTTTAATGATTGCAAACAGTGCAGCAATAAACATATTTTCAAATCAGAAATTCTGTTTTCTTTGGGTAAATTCCTAAGAGTAGAATTACTGGATCAAATGGTATTGCCATTTTTAGTATCTTGAGGAACTGCCATACTGCTTTCCACAGTGGCTGCACCAATTTGCAGTCCCATCAAAAGTGTAGGAGGGTTCCTATTTCTCCGCACCCTTGCCAGCATTTGTTATTTCTTGTCTTTTAGATAGTGACTGTTCTAACCGGTGTGAGGTAATATCTCATTGTGGGTTTAATTTGCATTTCCCTGATGATTAGTGATGTGGAGCATCTTTTCATATGCCTGTTGGCCATCTTAATATTTGTTTTGATCCCTGTTGTATTCTTAGCATCTAGAACAGTATTCAATACATCTTTATATTTAGTGATTGAAAGAATAGATCGTGTGCAGTCATCAGCCCTCCTGAATGATGGTTCTGTGTATTAGTTTTGGGGTCAACTGAGAAAGTGAGAAAAAAGTCAAGCAGACTGAGAAACTTCTCTGATGCCCTTCTGAGGTTGCATAGATTCTCAAGACAAGTGTCCTTGGATGTCTCCACTTTTAAGATCTTTAGGTTCCTATTTTGGAAACTGAGATCCCAGGCTGCGTTTCCGCTATATAAAGTGTGTCAGGCAAAGAAGTGTGATTTAAGGAAATGTATTCTATAAGCCATTTAAAAAACAGTTCCTGAGAGCTGTATGATTCCATACTGATAATAAAAGGGACAAGGGAAAAGCAAAATCTAAATGCGACTTGTTTTTCCCATTATTTTTCCTCCAGGCATGCAGGAATGGAGATACTGAATTTTAGTTATGGTATCTCCATTACCTACGCTAAAGGGTCTCTATCAGGTGCATAAAAACCACCTGGGGAATTATTTAAAAATTCACCTAAGTCTTGTCTCCAGAGTAACTGATATTACAGTTGTGAATGGACCCAGAAATCGGTGCCCCAGATGATTCTGAGGCTGGTGATCTAGCCACCACGCTGTCAGAAACACTGTCCTTACTCAAACTTGAGTAGATCAAAAAAGCTGAACTGCAATCAAGTTTTTTTTTTTATAGTTAAAGAATTCTTTTAAATTGGTTTGAATTTCTTTAGAGAAGTTTTCCCCATGGAGAAGTTTTCCCCATGATAAATAATCATTTCTTTAAATTGAAGTATAGTTGATATAATATTGTGATAGTTTCAGGTGTACAATATAGTGTTAACATTTATATACATTACAAAATGCTCACTGCAATAAATATAGTTACCATCTGTTACCATATAAAGTTATTACAATGTTACTGACTATATTCCCCGTGCTGTACCTTTCATTCCACGACTTACTTACTTTGTAACTGAAAGTTTGTTCCTCTTAATGTCCTTCCCCTATCCTCCCATCCCCCTTTATCTCTGTCAACCACCAGTTTGTTCTCTGTGTTTATGGGTTATTTATTTGTTCATTTGTTTTGTTTTTATATTCCACATACAAGTGAAATCATATGGTATTTTTCTTTCTCTGATTTATTTCACTGCAATCAACTCTTTATTTCTGCTATCCTCACCATGGCCTGGGCAACCGTCTTATTCCCAAATTCGCTTTTTCTCCCCGAAACATCCACAGCCCCTAAGCTAAATAGCATTGTGTTGGGTCTTACCTAAATCATCTGTCCAACCAATTTACTTCTGGGGGTGGGGAGAATTAATCTGGCAGTACCTTTTAGTCTAATTTGATTGCTGGAGGAATCATGCCCACTTTCCTCATCTACCTGTTGAATCATTTATTCTGGACTCATCCTGTGTCTTTGTGAAGCCTTCCTCAGTGAACCATCTACAGGGATGATTCCTTATGTCACCACCATTCCTTGCACCCTATTTCAATTTTAGTTTCAATTATAGCAGCTAACATCTTGTACTGGGATTGCCTAATTTATTTTTTGTATCTCTAATCCTACAAACCCTCAAAAACTGGAATGAACTGAATGAATGTGAAAGAGTAGGCAGAGAGTTTTTAAGATCAGTGTTGACTAGGAAACAAAACAAGGAATACCAAGGGCTGATGCCAGGCAGTGAGGGCCTAGAAGGAATAAAAATAACCTCTAATAGCACAGTATTCTCCTGAAGGGAAGATCTTTTCCATTTTCTCAGGTCGCTTTTTGGCTTCTCCTGTCACCCCATTTTCCCGCTCACTAACTCGTTGGTTCTCTTCCCTTGGGTGGACAGGTCAGGCAGGTAACCCAGATCCTCTGCTTCGATTGGCCCGCGATGATTTCATTGTTAGGAAACATCCGGGCTTTTCCCTTCCCCGCAACACCTCCCCAAGAGTTCTGCCTTCCGAGTTTCCCTCTCCCGCGTGCGCTCCACCCGCTTGCCCAAGCAAAACAACCGCCCCTCCCTAGACCGCTTCTTGTCCTCGCCTGCGCCATCCCCTCCCACGTTGTCGCCTGAGAGGCATTTACATCCTCCAATGAGGGCCTAAGAGCACTTTGTTAGCCAATCAGCAGCCAACCGCCTGCAATTCTGGGAGGGGGCTAGACTTCCACACCTATAACAGGATAGCCCGTTGGCTCCTTTATGGCGCTTGTTTCACGCAAGGCTTAGAGGTCAAAAATAAAGGGGTACAGTCTCTACAGATCAGGAAGCAGCCGTACAGACTCTCTGGGTTTGACAATATTCAAACACTAGCCAATCGCTTGTCGGATACTTCCCCGCCTTTTGCGTTCCTTTAAAAAAAAAAAAAAGCCTGTGTGACGGAAATTGTTTCAGTAACGGATACGTACAGGAAGCCAATGACTTCGGGCAATCTTTGGACCAATAACAAAAGAGGAATAGCTAGGGCTCGGGCTTTGAGAGGCGGAATGCAGGTGGGCGTTATTTGATTGGCGGCGCTCTCTACTTATGATGGGTAGGGTGGGTTGGTCCCTATCGTCCGTGAGGTAGAGCAGAGGCGGGGCTGAATGAACTAAATGGTAATGAAGAGTTGGGTCTCACTCAGTGGGCGGTGTTTGATGGATAGTTGACCTTGCCAATTGAAGGTGGTCATTGATACCCAATGGAAAATTAGGAACTCAGAGGCGGAGCATTGTGGGCGGGGAAAGATAACCACAGAGGTACAAGGGTAGTCGAAGTAGACGGGACAGCGGTGATTGACGGGAGATCCAGCAAATTGGATACAGAGAGAGGCCTCAAGGCGTCCCAATGGGGGTGAGCTGGGCGGGGCTCGCCGAGGGGCGGGGAAGGACGGGGTGCGAGGAGGGGGTTGCAGAAGGAGCTGAGCGGCTGCTGCTCAATGGCGGAAAAGCCGCCGGTCCTCTGACCGCCTCGTCCCCCTAGCACTTGCGGGGGAGTTTCCTGCCGGCGCGGCTGGAGTCTCTGTTTCTCAGGGTTCGGTGGCTGGAAGATGCTCCAGAGAGACGAGGCTGCGACGGAGGAGGTGGCGGCGGCCGAATCGGTAGCGGCGCTAGGGTGGAGAGAAGGCGGCAGTGGCGGCGGCGGCGGCGTGCGGGGCCCGACGGTGTAAACAGCTCCGGAGGCGGCGGAGGCGGTGGCCGAGACCCAGAGGGGAAAGCGTTGGCTGAGGCAGGATCGTGCCTCCGTTGGAAGCCTGGGCTGAGTGCAGCAGAGGGGTGTCTGCGGCGGGCTCGAGCAGACGCCCTAGACCTCGCCACTCTCTCTCGCCTCAGGTAAGGCCGCTCGGCGCCCCGCCGCAGGGGAAACGGCTCGCGGCACCACCGAGGCCCTGGACTGTTTTCGGGGTGCCGCCGACCTGTGGCCGTGGCCCCTGCCTGTCCAATCCTCGTCTCTTTCCCTCTGCCGCGGAGCCGGGGGAGCGGAACGTGGGGCCTGGCTCCTTGGTAGGCCCCTTCCCCAGTCGCCGCCTCCGCGCTCCGCCCGGGGTTGGGAGAGGCTCGGGGCAGGGTATTTTTGTTTGCTCCAACGCCTGGAAGTAAACTGCTTTCCCCGGTTCTCTGCTTCAGTCTGTGAACATCTTTCACACCAAACTCCTGTTGTTACCCCAGGCCTTAACTCATCTCTTCCTGGTGCATTCCTATTTGAAAACTACCTTTTCCCGTTTGTTCCTTCAGCTTCTGCCCTACTCTGCGCTCCACTTCACTTCCTTGTTAAACCTTTCTTATTCTTGTCTTCTGCGTCTCACCACCTCCTTCCTCCTTAATGGCTTTAACTCCTTTCTCTTTCTCTTCTCAGCCGACTCCGGGCTTCTCTTCTCTGCTTTCCCCAGCAGTCCTCTTCGGATGTCGTTGTTTTAACCGTGGAGTTCTTACACGGAACTGCTGTCACCAGTACCCCCAAATCTCCCAGAGGCCCATTAAGAATAGACTCATCAGCTTATATGGCAGTTTTTTTATAATTTGAGCCTAACATCCTTTTAGAAAAAACAGGTTGTATTAGATGTAGTGTGGAAATAACACTGAGGTAATTTTTAAAATGAGGGGCTCATTGACTATTGAAAATAGTTATTTCAGTTATAAGTTTAATGACCTGTAATGTGAGATTTAGCGGATCTAGAACATTTGCCTGTCTTATTTGGCAAAAATGCCTCTCAAGCATTTGACAGCGGCCCAAATTCATCAGTATTCAAGTTAGTTTAAAAACAACTTGAAAGCTTTAAAAAGAGGACATTATATGAACAAGTAGGAAGCTGTTTTGATGAAGTCACAGTTAAGGACCTTTTAAAATAGGCTCCACATGTTTAATGTATCAAAATAAAGTTGGCAGGAGTCTTGTAAAAGGATTATTTAGGAATTTCAGCAGTCTTAGTGTTATGTAGCTATTTTGGGAAAAACCTCTTTTTGTTAACAAACGTTTACAACTGTGATGTGAGAATTGCTGAGGTTTATTGTGGGATTAACACAGGAACTCATTTTATTTGAGCTCTACTGCATGGATGTAGAAGTGGCAAATTATTCAGAGTAGACAGTGTAAGTCAGTATAGTATGTTTTAGGAGATGGAGAAACATGGCCTCTACACGAATGTTAAGAAGTATTATTTCATTTACTTTCTCTGTTGTGCAATAGCCAAGTTCCTATTGTTGGCCTACTTTTAAATAGACTATTTCTAAATAGTGAGGCAAGTTATTCTAGTTATTACTATTTTTTCAAAGCATACAGGCTTTTAGAATACATATATAATTGAAGTTACAGTATTAAAGTAGTAATTTTTTTAAAGACATATTTTTCTAGGCCTCCTGAATGGGCAATGTGTTATTTCAATAGAACTTTTAAAATGTAGTTTTTAGAACAGATTTTTTTGTTTTTGTTCTTCAAATTTTCTTTTAGGGATAATCTTGATGGTGACTGTATTTCTTAACCCTCTCTCAGTGTCTTCTTTGTCTTTCTTTTTTTAAATGGTTGTGTTTTTCCCTGTTCGTTTGTTTTGCTCTCAAAGTCTTATCACAGTTTTTTCAGTGGTTCTTTATGTTGTTGTGTTACCAGGATGAAGTAGTGTTTTCATTTTGTCTTTTGGATTTGTTCATGTGTTTATTCTCTCAGAAGTGACCTGCAGAGCTTTCAACACCTGTTTTCTTAAACTGGGTGTCTAATTTCTGTGAAGACTTGGGAATAGGTGAAAGCTTTTTCAGTTTGTCTGGTAGTCATGTCTAAATACTATTTCATGTTAGTAATTCACATATAATTACCAAACCCCTGAAGATTACATCATCTGAAGGAATCGTAGTGTCAAATAGCTGTGCTTCTAGGAACACCTGATTCACAAGTTGGCAAGGTCAGAAAAAAGTAGCTCTTCTTGATAGTTTATTTTCCTATCACATATATTTTTTACAGAGCCTTTTTAATTGAAATGTAATGCTGATAGGCTCTTGGCACTCTTGGAAGAGTAGAGTTTACCATAGTATTACTTAATGATTGTGAAGATTCATCGAAAACTGGCTAAGCCAATAGTGGAAGAACTGCAAACAGGCCCTTCTAAATGGGTTGGTAAGCATTTCTTTTATTGCACATGATACTGAGAGTGAGTATTTTTTTTCTTCACACTCTTTGGTGTTAGTTACACATTATCTGCATTATATGAACATTTGCCTATTATGTGTAACTTTTGTAACATTTTGTAGCATGGAAAGTAGAAAATAGTATAATTTTAACTCTACAGTGGTGCTTCATAAGATACTAGTAAAGTGAATAAAGTTATTAAAATATACAGTTTTTTGCTTTTTCTGTGAAATGGCCTTTCATAGTTCACTGATTTTAAGCAAAAATTAGTTGGGAAACAACCAATAGTATGATAGCTATAATACTTAAAAATGTTTAAATCTAAAATTCTAATATTTATTCAAGTAATACTTAGCTTAAAATAAACAATTACTATTAGAAGAGAATTTTGAGGAATAAGGTTATTTCTGGATTTTTCAGTGATTTTTCGCATTGTACTTAATTCTGCTTTTTTCTTGAACTAATTTCAGAATTTGGGTTGAAACTAAATAACAGCTATTTAGATCAGCAGCTTCTAAGTTTTATTGTAGAATGGCTTATTTATCTATATACCAGCAGAATTGTAGATTAAGAGGACTGATTAACTGGGAATAGGAGAAAAAGATTCCTAGACACTGGGTGAGCCCTGGAAATGTAATCTGACTTACTTTCCATTTCACTCTCCTGTACTCAAACAGAATAGTGAAGGTAAATAGGGTAGATTTTGGAAAAACTGGTTTTGTAGTTTTTGCTTGACTCATAAAGTTGATAAAATGACAGAGCTTGTCATCAGTTTCTGGAAGCTAATCTAATAAGTATAGGTGAAAAAAAGATACAAAGGCTTAATAATTTGTATTTTACCCTCATTTTTGTTGGTGATACTTCTTTACATCAATCAAAGCATTGATTTAAGACAACCTATGGTGTTTTAGACTAATATGCTAACATCTCTGATTAGCCATTTTGGAATCTTTTTTCAGATGAAACATTTGTAGTGTGATTTCATCTTTTTGTGTAGATTTGACTTGAGTTAGACTTTCTAGTTTTCCAGCTGTATTTTCCCTCCCTCAAAGACCACTATTAGGATGAACTGGAGTGATTTGATCAAGTAGTTGAATCAGTGTTATGAAAAGTCTACTAAGTTCTTGATAATGTTATGAAGTTTTTGAAAAGGGCAGTCTATATGCTGTAGTTTCTCAGACTACATAAAAAGGGTTGTCTGGATACCTAGGAAAAAAAATATATGGTTGCTTACATCTTTTTATAAACATGTTTCATTCAAATTTCTGCCCTTCAATTTAGTGTTAATAACAGACATAGCATTTTGCTCTGAGTTAATGATAAAAATCATTACACAGGGAGTTCTTAAGTAAATTTTTTTACTATAGCTAACTGAATAAAACTACAATGTCCTATTATTTCTTGGCATAATGTAAACCTTTTCTAATGGTATCCTTTATAATGACTTATTTAACTTTAAGAACTGAGTAGCTTTACTACCAGTTGTAGTATTTCACTTGTTCATATATTTAGACATTTAATATGGTTTATAACATTTAAAGGAGTTTGTTTAAAGCTTTTAATACTTACTAAGTAGTTTATTAATTTGCTAAAAATAAAATGGATTTGCAGTTTTCTTTTGGAGTGTGGTGAAATATCAATACTATGTTTATTGGCTTTAAGTTGATTTGTTTCCTGAAAAGTAAAGGTCTTACAGCTTAGAAACAACCCTAGTTGGTGACCTTGTTTTACATCCTTTTGAACAGAAGGGAAAAAAAAGTTTTATTAAAACATGGTCTGATTAATTTAAAGGAGAGACAAACATTGGAAGACTTCTAAGGATTATTAAAGAATTTGTCTTCCTCTTTGAGGTGGGACCAATTACTGGCAGTGATGCAGGGAGGACAAGATCTCTCTCTCTAGTCTCTCTAGTCTTACTGTGCTTTTTTGTCAACGTAGAATGTCCTCCACTTCAAAATAGGTTGTGAAGGAAAGTGCATTTGTATGATAGAAGCACTTCATGGAAAACTTTTAAAATGTGGGTATGTTATCAGGTATAATCAAATTTGTAATATAAGAAAAAAACCCAGTGAATAGATTTTTCTTGATTGAGAGAACATACTTGAGAAGCAGCTTTGATAAAGGGCATATAGAATAATTTGTGAAGTTCTGAAAGATTTCAAAGCATTTCAGAGCTTGGGAGCAGTGTCACTTTTTCTTAAATCTAGTTGCATTTTACTGTCTTGACGTAGGTATGTTGAAGTGCACTCCTAACACTGAAAATAGACATATAAGTAGGAGAATCTAGGAGTGTCCATATTGCTCTTGGGTGCTTAATCTATCCTGGCAAAGAGTTTACTTTCCTCTTCTCTGATTAAAGCAATCAGCTGAGTTAACGAACTGGGGTTATCTGTTGAACACAGGTGGCCCTTCTTTTTTAGTCCCTTACAAAGAGGAAATAATTGAACTCTAAATGACAATGTGTGGAAAATCAGGTTTAGATGTGACAGGCTTCCTGTGACTTTCACTTACTCGAGACTACCGACACACTGTGAAGTAAAGGATTTCAGTATAGTTCAGTAGTTTTTAGTCTGTAACTCCCCTCCCCTGACCCTGTCTCCCAGCAATTATTCTTGGATTCACTGAGTGCCTTCTAATATGCAAGACACCATTCCAGGCTGGAGACTGAACAAAACAGACAAAATCCCTGCCCTCGTGGGTCTTATATTCTGGTAAC